GCATGGAACTGGTGGGGCTCCACTCTGAGATATCTATAAGAGCAGACTATGTGAGGGAGAGGTACAGGGCTCACAAAGCAATCAACACCACAGGGCATCTGAGCTAGTGGCACATAGGCAGGGAGATGTCTAACTAGACATGAGTCGGCATGTCAAAGATCTGGACAGCAGAAGCCGGTGATGTAATGTGGGCATTAGGGGTCTATGAGAGACCATCGCATCTGACAGCCTGGCAAGTGCAAGACTTATTTCACCTTATATTGGGTGACGACAGCCCAGAACACATACAGCTAGAAAGAACTCATTGAACCCTTTTGGCCATGGATGCCTGATAGCCCCAAGAGAAGTTGTATGCTGCTTCTACTCTCATTCAGGAGAGTAGCACCTGGCGGTGTTGAAGTTCTTGGGAGTGCAAGTGGCCCTATATCAGGGTCTTTCCCTGCTCATGCTAGACGCCCAATAAAAAAAAATTACAACCAATTACCAGAGAGCTGAGGGCTCATGGGATACCTTACCGCTGGGGTTTTATTCTTCAACCTTATAGTGTGGAAGGGCAATGCAACCAACACCCTGAATTTACCAGAAGATGTACCGCCCTTTTGGCAGGGTCTGACACTGCTGGAAACTGTTGTCCAGAACTAGATCCTTCATTCTTCTCCTCAGAAACCACAGAGAGTCCCTTATCCAGAGGCTGCATACAACTAGGGTCCCCACTAGTGCATTACTTGGTGACGAAGTGAAAGAGGGAAGGTAGGAGTGAAGTGTGTGGGTGACTATCTGAACTTCTGTGTGCTCTTCTTGGCTTGCCCCATTGGGCTAACAGGGGAGGGGGTCTTCAAACTGACTTAGGGTGTTTGGGGTGCGGGGGCTCCAAGCCTTGGTAAAAGAAGAATGGGGGATTTACAATGTTTTGTGTTACCCTTTGGACAATATATTGCCTTAGAATTATAGGTCGTCTACTTAAACAATAGGTTTTTACAATAATATTTGGCGGAGTCCAGGCTAATAAATTTACTAATCTTGTCTATTCAAGGAACTTATTGCTCATATTAAAAAAACTGGCTGCAGTCTTACATAGATGCACTCTTTCATTCTGATTGGGAAACTACACATCACATAAACAGTCATTATAGAAGCATTACTTTGGTTACTTGGTTTGTCCACCTTAGTCTTATCTATGTTTATGGAAATCAAAAAAAACATGCCCTGCTTGGTTAGTGAATATTGAGATTATACACCATGATAAATCTGCTTTAGGGGTACTTTGGCAATTTTATCACATGACAGGAGGCTTCATATTTTGCATAACTTTCTTTACTTTATGCCTCCAGCAGCACAAGTCAATCAATAAACTTTAAACCAATCAGTAACAGGCATCACATCCATATATAAACATATGCCCTGACAGACACATGACTTCCTCTTTCTTTGCTGCTTACCAGCCAAGGCACAGGTCAGAGTATTTTGCTCCAAACTGTTTTACTGATATTGCAATTGTCATTAGTTAATCATTTATTGCTTAACTTTCAGTTTGTTCCAAACTGTTTTTATTAATATTGCTATGGTCACTGTAGTTAGACACCTTATGCTAGACATTCAGTTTTAATCCTAACTGTCTTTTCTGGATACCACTTTAATTAAACTTTATTAATTGACTTTCAGTTTGCTCCAACTGTTTTTATTAATATTGCTATGGTCACTTTAGTTAGATTTTTAATGCTAGACATTCAGTTTTTGCTCCAAACTGTTTCTGGATATGCATGGCCACTTTTGTTAAACTTTATTAGCTTGTCCTGCAATTTGGCCTAAACGTTTTTCATTATTTTGCACTTGCCTTCCATTTGGATTTGTATAGTGTGATATTCTCCCCCTGTTACCCTTCCCCTGAATTAACCCTGTATTTTCTGCTTTATTAGCCTGTTTTCTGTTGCTGGCACCTTTTTTTTTCTCCTATGCTTTACTCTGGTCTTGCACGAATCACGGCGTTTTACCGCGAGCACACTTTTTATTCATTGGTGCTGGGACTTCAGGGCAGGTCTCTGGGGGTTGGGGATGTCGGGGGGACTCTTTTCCATGCCGGCAGACCGCGATCGTATCCTCGATCGTGGGCCACACGGCACTTTTGCTCGCGAACGGCGGCCATCTTGAATCTCGCGGCACTCGCGAGATTCACGTCGGCCATGTCGTTTGGCCAGTTCGTGATTCCCACGAACTGGCGGCTAGTTCAGAGCCAGGAAGGAGAGCTCACGGTGCTGCCAATTCTCCACAGTACTATATCCTATAAGGGTGACCCCTTGGATAATTTGGAAGCTACCATACCTCCCCATACACGGGCTACGTCCCTACATTACTGATCGCTCATCCCGGTCTTATTGAGGGTGACTCCCTCCTCAGACCACTCCCAGGAAATCTCTAAGTGGTACTGATTGAAACAATTCTGGGTGACCCCCAGTCGTACGTGGAGGCCCACTAAGTGGCAATAAGTGTACTACCGCACCTGACACCTGTTCGGTACCCCATAGACCGAAAGAGTGTCCCAACATGCCATAAGAGACATTCATACAGGGGTGACCCCCCTATGCTGGGTGAACCCCAAGCGAGTCTTACTCCGGTGCTAGTGGCATAGGTACAAAGGGGTGACCCCTTATCGGACGGGGTGACCCCCCGCACCCTTTCTAGGGTTTCAACCTTCAGAGTACGCTCTGTCATTGTATGCACAGACCAGGGCGCACTAGATGCATGTATTCTGGCACCTCTATGCTTCAACTGGGGTTCCGTACGCCCTTCCCTTAACCGAGAAGGAGAACTCACAGTGCTGCCAAAACTCCACAATTCTAGACCATATAAGGATGAACCCCGTGGACTATATATATTGAGGCTTTCACGTCTCCCAGACTCGGGCTACGTCCCGACATTGCAGACCGCTCATCCCGGTCTTACTGAGGGTGTCCTCATTCTCAGACCACTCCCCGGATCCTGCGAAAATGATACTGATTGATCAAAATTCTGGGTGACCCCCAGTTATACGCGGAGGCCCACTGAGTTGCAATAAGTGTACTGTTGTACGATCCTGTCTCCCACGGACCGAAAGGGTGTGAACCAACATGTCGGACTTACCTCAATATCCCCGACCGATTTTCAGGCGAGGATTAAGGCCGCCATGACAGCTCCGGGGGAAGAAGTCCTCTCCAGTATGCTGGCTAACAACCCATCCAACAGAGCGGGTGCAACGGCAGCAACACCAATGGAAGATTGAGATACCGACGTTAGGTCGGACACCCATCATCAGGGGACGAGGACTTCATCCTCCCCCCCTTCTCTGGAGATCATGAAAGAATGGAGGGCAGAAGAGGTAAATGTGACAAGACCCGCCTAGCAAGAAAAGTTTTTTCTTTGGCACACTGGACACTCCTGTTTTGACTCACGCACCATCTGACAACCAGGGTCATCCGAATGGGGTTAACCGGAGCACCGGGCCCACTTCTGGCTTAGGAGGCCTATGGGAAAAGAAATCCGAGACAGGCTCAGGATGGAATGCCCATGCCCACTATGTCCGAACAAGATAGTCCTCACTATGGAGCTCGTGGTGATATGTATGTCCCGATCAGGCCGGGGTCCATGTAAAGATGTAGGAAGAGGACTCAAAACGAGTTAAGATGAAATACTGGATATGATCAGCCCGGGAAAAAATTCTATACTTTGCGGACCTGACCCCACACAAGACTCACCTCTAGAAGCTCACGATGTGAGGGAATGGGTGCAAACGGCAATATGTAGGTTGGGTGTAATGATATTGATGTTACAAAGTTTTGGAGTCCAGTAGCCAGATCAGCAATGTTTTCTGCCAGAGGTAGCCACTCGTTACCCAGGTGGTTGAGCCCCTGAGCCTTGAGTAGCCTTCTGGTCTTAAGCAGAGATGGGAGACTGGAACAGAAAGATGATAATCGTAGTCAGGCAAGCCGAGGTCAGTGGGAAGGAGAAGCAGCAAAGTCAAAACAGTCCAAATTCAGCAACAGGAAGGAGAAACAGGAACACGCTGGATTAGAGAGTACAGGAACCACAATAATCTGGCAAAGGTACAGAGACAGGAAGTGGCTTTTATAGGCCAAGAACCAGACACCTGACTAGACACAGCTGAAGTGAGTTGTCACTGATAACCTTGACTCTACAAGCAATGGTATCAGATATCAGGTAAATTTGCAAAAGGCAGGCTGGTGTACTGGTAATGAAAAGGTTTAGCATCATGTAAACCAGGGTTCGAAACCCAGCAGAGTCAGTTCCTCACATTACCTCCACCTTTACAGGCGCAGCCTCTGGATGCCCTATTTCCTGGTTTAGCAGGGTACTGTGCATGGAAAGACTGAAGAAGATCAGGAGCATGAATATTGTCCACTGGTTCCCATGATCTATCCTCCTCACCATAGCCTTTCCAATGAACCAAGTATTGAAGTTTGTTGCGGAAGATCCTGGAGTCAAGAATTTTTTCCACCTCGTATTCATCTTCACCATCCACGAGGACTGGTGGTGGGGCAGGCAAGGCTCGACCAGGGAAAGTATTTTCATGAAAAGGTTTAAGCAGTGCCACGTGAAACACCGGATGTATTTTCATGGAATCTGGAAGTTGCAGACGGAAGGTGACTGCATTGATCTGAGCGATTATCTTAAAAGGTCCCATGAACTTTTGACCCAATTTATGAGAAGGAATCCTAAGCTTAAGATTCTTTGTTGACAGCCAAACCTTGTCACCAACATGATAAACTGGGGCCTCCTTTCTGTGCCTATCAGCAGCTCTTTTGTAACATTCCTGAGCCTCCGAAAGAGTCTCCTTCAACAGTTCTTGGGAATCTCGTAAGGCGGTTAGCCGGTCAGTGACTGCAGGAATGGGAGTAGTAATTGGGAGACTCACTAGAAAGGTTGGATGGTAACCATAATTGGCAAAAAATGGGCTCAGAGAAGTGGAGCAGTGTTGGGCATTGTTATAGGCAAACTCCGCCGTGGGTAGAAAATCCAGCCAGTCATCCTGCAGGTAACTAATATAGCACCGCAAATATTGTTCTAAAGTCTGGTTGGTTCGCTCAGTCTGTCCATTACTTTGTGGATGAAAAGCTGAAGACAGATTTACATTAATACCTAGAATAGAACAAAAATATTTCCAAAAATGAGATGTAAACTGCACTCCCCTATCAGAAATTACTTCATCAGGCACTCCATGCAAGCGAAATATTTCCCGAATAACAAGGTCAGCAGTCTGTTTAGCTGAAGGGAGACCACGAGCTGGTATGAAATGACTCATCTTGGTTAACCGGTCCACAACAACAAGAATAGTAGTGTGTTCCTTAGAGGGAGGTAGTTCCACAATAAAGTCCATGGATATAGATCCCCAGGGACGATGAGGAATCGGAAGAGGCTGAAGCAAGCCAACAGGGGATGAGCGAGGAGTCTTATGTCTGGCACATACATCACAAGAGGACACATACTTCTTAACATCCTCATAATATTTAGGCCACCAAAAGGATCGGGTAAGTAGTTCTTGTGTCTTTCGGATTCCTGGATGACCTGCTGGTTTAGAGTCATGGTAGAGGCGTAAAACGTCCAGTCGCACTGATTCTGGAACAAACAGACGTTGTTGAAAAATCCAAAACCCATTAAGCATGGTCATATGAAGATCACGAGGAGGATCACGAAAAACTGGATCTTTAGAGTAGCCCTTTTTAATGCGAGACATTAGATCAGAAGGAAAGGTAACTCCTAAAAATCTGCTCTCCGGCAAGATGGTGGCCTTGGTTACTGTAGTATGGAGGGGGTCAGCTATCCTAGACAAGGCATCCGCCTTGCCATTTCTGGAACCAGGGCGGTATGAAATAAAAAAATTAAACCTTGAGAAAAATAGGGACCAGCGTGCTTGTCTGGCTGACAGTCTCTTAGCGGATTGGATACATTCCAGATTTTTGTGATCTGTGAGGACAGTAATTGGATGGGTGGCTCCCTCCAAGAGATGTCTCCATTCGGTGAAGGCAGCTTTTATAGCCAAAAGTTCTTTATTCCCTATGTCATAATTTCTTTCTGCTGGTAACATCTGGCGGGAATAGAAGGCACATGGATGTAACAACATCTTAGGTCCAGTCCTTTGAGATAGTATAGCCCCAACAGCTGAATCAGAAGCATCTACCTCTACAGTAAATGGCAATTCTGGCTGAGGATGTACCAAGATAGGGGCAGATGTAAACAGAGTCTTTAATCTGGAAAATGCAGTGTCAGCCTTATTGGACCACTGAAAAGGAGTCCCTTTACGTGTAAGTTCAGTGATCGGTGTAATAACGGCAGAGAAATTCTTAATGAAACGCCTGTAAAAATTGGCAAACCCCACAAATCTCTGTATATCTTTTTCATTCTTGGGGATGGGCCAGTCCAGCACAGCTTTAATTTTACTTGCGTCCATACTTAAACCTTTAGGAGTTATTACATACCCCAGGAACTGAATTTCTGTTTGTTCAAACTCACATTTTTCCAGTTTAATGTATAGGTGGTGGGTACGAAGGCGCTCAAGAACAATGCAGACCTGTTTTCTGTGATTTTCAAGATCATCAGAAAATATCAGGATATCATCCAAATATGCCACAACAAACTGATCCAGGAGATCCCGTAGTACATCATTGATTAGATGCTGAAAAGTTGCAGGGGCATTACAAAGCCCAAATGGCATTACTAGATATTCGTAATGTCCGTACCTGGTTCTGAAAGCTGTTTTCCATTCATCATTTGGTCTTATGCGAACCAGATTATATGCCCCCCGTAGATCAAGCTTCGTAAATATTTTAGCTGAACGAAGTCTCTCCAGAAGTTCAGGAATGAGAGGCAAGGGATAACGGTTTTTAACAGTGATTTTATTAATGTCCCTGTAATCGACACATGGCCGTAGACTGCCATCTTTCTTTTCTACAAAGAATATAGGAGCTCCTGCTGGAGAAGTGGATGGTCGAATAAAGCCTTTGGCAAGATTTTCTTGTATGTATTCACGAAGTGCTTTCAATTCAGGCTCAGAAAGGGAGTATATACGGCCAAATGGGATAGCAGCTCCAGGTAGCAGCTCTATGGGGCAATCATAAGGCCTGTGAGGTGGAAGCTGATCAGCATTCTTCTTATCACAGACATCTGCAAAATCCCGATATTGTAGCGGAAGCTTAGTTAAGTTTGTAGCAACCATTTCATTAATTGTTGTGGTAACAGGTGTCGCCTTAGAGGGTTGACAATTCATTAAGCAGTGTTCTGAAGGAAAGGACAAAGTTCTAGTCTTCCAATCAATCTGTGGGTTATGCAGAGCAAGCCAGGGTATACCCAAAATCACTGGAAACTGTGTTGAGGAAATTAGGTGGAAAGATATAGACTCATGGTGATTCACTTCCAGAATCAATTTTAAGGGCACAGTCTCATGTGTAACCGGGCCTGACGTCTACTGTTTCCATTAACACAGGTGAAGATTTAGGGATAGACTGAATTTTATTTCCTGCTGCAAATTTAATGTCCATAAAGTTTCCGCCTGCTCCGGAATCTATCATAGCTGTAGTTGAAATTATATTATTACCATATTGCAAAGTGATAGGCACCACCAAATGAGGATGTTGAGTCATCATACCTTCTTCACCCTGAGCCAGAGAAAACAAGGGTTGTGTGACAGAATCCAGTTGGTCTGAAATCTGGGATTGGTGTTGAATCTGTGCACCCTCAGCAGTCATAGCTATTGTTCTTTTAGACTTGTTAGGGCACTTGATGGCATAATGCCCTGCACTACCACAATACAGGCATAAGTTGTGAGTGCGTCGCCACTGTTTTTCTTCATTGGATAATGGCCCTCTTATTAGATCTACCTGCATAGCCTCAGGTTCAGAGTCTGTAGGTGTTTGTGGGGTCGGAGTAGAAATTCTTGAATAGAAAGTAGGAGTAGCACTTGGTTTAAAAGAGCCCTGTCTTTCCAATCTTCTTTCTGAAAGTCTCCGATCAATACGGATAGCCAACCGCACAAATGCATCAAACTCAACAGGAAGATCAACACGAGCTAGCTCATCTTTTATAGCTTCTGAGAGACCCCTTCTGAAGTGGAACCTCTGGGCTGATTGGTTCCAAGTAGTATCAGTAACCCACTGTCTGAATTCAGCAGCATATTCAGCCACAGATCGCCTCCCTTGATGTAAATGAAGGAGAGTGGCTTCTGCTGTAGCACAGCGATTGGGATCATCAAAAACTAGGCACATGGCCTCAAGAAAGTCTTTTAAATTTCCCAAGATTGGACTGTCCTGTTCCAGAAAAGGGGAGCCCCAGGCCAGGGCTTCATCTTTGAAGAGGGAAAAAATAAATCCCACCTTCTCTCTTTCAGATGGAAAACGGTTAGGTAACATCATGAAATGCAAACGGCATTGATTTAGGAAACCCCTGAATTTTTTGCGGTCTCCTCCAAATTTTTCTGGTAGAGGCAAGCGGGCATCTTGTGCAGGTGTAACAGTAGTAGTAGCAGCAGCCGCAACATCATGTGCCCTGTAGCTGGTAAGCTCACTATGCATTGATCGAACTTCATTTTGCAGTTCAGCTACCTGATCCTGCAGCACTTGAATGGTCTGTGCCTGGGTCTGCATAGTTCTTGCATTAAAAGCAACCTGCTGGGCCAATGCAGAATCTGATCCGACGGTCTCCATGAATGGGCCAGATTATTCTGTAATGATATTGATGTTACAAAGTTTTGGAGTCCAGTAGCCAGATCAGCAATGTTTTCTGCCAGAGGTAGCCACTCGTTACCCAGGTGGTTGAGCCCCTGAGCCTTGAGTAGCCTTCTGGTCTTAAGCAGAGATGGGAGACTGGAACAGAAAGATGATAATCGTAGTCAGGCAAGCCGAGGTCAGTGGGAAGGAGAAGCAGCAAAGTCAAAACAGTCCAAATTCAGCAACAGGAAGGAGAAACAGGAACACGCTGGATTAGAGAGTACAGGAACCACAATAATCTGGCAAAGGTAAAGAGACAGGAAGTGGCTTTTATAGGCCAAGAACCAGACACCTGACTAGACACAGCTGAAGTGAGTTGTCACTGATAACCTTGACTCTACAAGCAATGGTATCAGATATCAGGTAAATTTGCAAAAGGCAGGCTGGTGTACTGGTAATGAAAAGGTTTAGCATCATGTAAACCAGGGTTCGAAACCCAGCAGAGTCAGTTCCTCACATTGGGGAACGCAAGGCAGACAGGTGCACAGAACGGTGCAAAGCAGCCCGATTAAAGATGGATTTCAAACTATTGAAGTTAGGGACGAAAGAGCGAGGACCTCAGGCGGACG